TGTTAAATATTATTTTTCAAAATTAAAAATGAAATTTATAATTTTTATAGAACGTTTTAATATTTTTTAAGAAATAACATTTTTTAATATCGTGTTATGTCACATTTCATTAATCGTTTCCATGCAACGTAATTCACTCATGTATCATCAAATTTTTAATTCTGTAACATTTTTTAGTATTGTGTTGATGGAAGCAAATAACAAATATAGAGCCATATCATTGAATTTAGAAATTTAAATAGAGAAAATATTAGGCGAGAGCCAATTGAGTTCCTGTATGGTCTCCATTTTTTAAAATTCATTTTTGTTTCAAGTTTATTTTTAATTATATATTTTATAAGATTCACAAATTTTTTCAACTTTTCAATCAAACATTTTATGAACGTTTACTTAAATCTACTAAAAATCTAACTTTAATCTAAACCAAACTAGGCCTAAGTCACAAAAATTGTGTAGTACATGCATTGTATGTAATGCGCGTTTTAATTATTGAAATTAGTTTTATTAGCGTTATAGTTCGTAACAGATAACATTTTTGTGCACAAAGATTATTCTTCGTCTCTTTTGGTTTGTGTATTGAAGTAGTTTGTGATGTTGAAGTTTAAAAACGACAGTGTAAAAAGATGGATGATTTAATTGCTCGAATTTTTTAACTTTGATGACTTGAATGAATTCATGCTCAAAGTTCAATGATGTGGAATGAAATTAACATAATTATACTAGTAATCTAATAATAACAAAAATTCATTAAAATCTAAAACCTGTCACTTCATTTGCCCTTTTAGAATTGATTTTTTTTTACCAATAATGCTGTGTGTATATTTGAGTTGACACCCCATATGACACTCTACACACATGAATGTGACGCTCAAGCCTAATAAAATAATCGTGGCCCCGTCTCCATGCGTGTGGAGTGTCATCCGGAGTGTTACCCAGATGTACACATAGTAGAACCGCTTTCTTATATATTTTGGAATTCCTTTTTCGGGGAACATTTTTCTTTTAATTATTGTGGGGGTCTTTCCCATGTCTTTTAGATTCTTTTTTGCATTGCTCCTTCACTAAAATTGCCATTCGAGACATTTGTGTTTTGAAATATTTGTTGGAAAAGACAGACCACGCGTTACTTTGGGCAATAGAAGAATATTGTAAATTTGAAAATAAAAAATTAAACGAAAACAGGGAAAATTTCACTTGCGGTTACTGAACTTTAAACAAAATTTTAATTGAATCACTAAATTTTAGTTTGTCTCAATTGGATCATTGGACATCAATTACGAATTTCACAATCTATCACCACCTATCCCACTCATAAAAACACTCTTTTCTCTCTTTCACACACACAAACACCTATACATTTGGGGAAAGAATATGAAAGATGAGATCGTCAAGTAAATCAAGAAGACTTTAGTTATCTATCTTATAAAGACTTTAGTTATCTTATCTAAGCCATAAGGCTAGTAAACAACGAATAGCAAATAAAGTCTTATTTAATGGTACAAAGCTCTTCATTTTATCTCAATATAAAGAAGAACATCTCGCACACGTGAAGGCACATTTATGTTTAGAGAAACAATACACAATATAAAAGAAGAGATTGGCTAGTAAGCCAAGACGGCTTTAACTATCTTAAATAAGCCACAAGGCTAATGGACAATGTGTTAGGAATCTACTTATACATGCACGGCGGAATTTAAAATAATTTTCGATTCTTATCAAGAATCGCCTTTGTGTTTAGATAGAAATTGTGATAAGGATTGTACCTTTGAAGAATTCTGCAATCCTTTTGCTTTTCTTTTAGTTCCATCAACCTTGATTCGCCACCACAGCTGTCCAATTGTCCAGCCTCCAACGGGGATCCACACAGAGAATAAGATTGTAGCTTCTAGGGTTTTCTCTTGTGCCAGCAAGAATAATGAAAACCATATGAATCCCAAACCCTAACCATGTATTTATATAAACCCAAACGGGTTCGACCCGGTCCGATCCAATATTTAATTAATCCAATTAATTAAACCCGGCCCGTGAATTAATTAATCTAATTAATTAATTCGGGAATATAAATAACAAATTCAATTAATTAATTTATCCAACGATTGTTAAATTAATAAATTGACAATTTGCAATCTTCCAATTCTCTTTTGTGTGCGACCCATTAGGTTCCCGACCACGATACTTAACGACGTGAAATATTATTTTGATCTAATCAAAATTGATAAATTAAAACACCCTTTTAATTTTTCGTCAATTCACACTCGCCGTACCTGATTAACATCTGGCAATGTGTCAGGGCAATACATGTGACGGGAAATGTCACGTGGTATGACAAAATCAAATTCGTTTGTTTACCGTGAAACTATAATCCCTTCGTCAATATGATCCGATCAATTACGAGATATGAAATTGTGTCAATCTCGATCATCGATCATATCTTTCACTCCACTATTAAGTCAATATAAGTCGAAAACTCTTTTTTCGACTTATGAGTACACATTGGCCAAGGATATCATCATCGACTTCATTGAATGAAACGCAGATTATAATCTCCTACTATCTAAGAGTGACGAATCCTTTATTGATCAATCACAACCTTCATACGATTCTTGACGTACCCGAACGATGTCGCATTAGCGGCCATTTTCAGAGCAACATCCAACATCGTCAAAGTATGACTGTCCTCATATAAGGTACCATGACGACCTCAAGTCAAAGGACCAATTCCACTACCGAACGTTAGAGATTAACCACTGACACTCAGATAGTTATCCATGTGTAATCTCTCGACGGGTCTCCAATGTTTTGTTCTATAACAAAACATCCACGTGTTCACTTAAGTGTCACCACACTTTAACTTGTGAGATCAGCTACTTACTTCACAAGTAAGAAATGTCACACGTGATGGTCTATCCGTAATGACGATATCCGTATCTCGTTATTACTTACGACCACGGATGATTTAAGATTCAATCAGATGTAATTTGTATATCACAATCACAACTCATTGTGATTAACAAATTACAAATATTTGAATCTACGGACTCTATTATTTATTTAATTGTCTATTAATTAAATAATAGATCTGCCATTTAATTGCATTAATTATATATAAAAATATTTATGTCCAAAATTGATTGGATTTAGGGCATAATACTTACACAATGAACATAGTCAATCAACTATTGACTAATCAAAGGTGCAAAGTGTTTACTTTTACATTAATATAAATTCTCTTTTTCACACATACAAAAACAAACAATAAAGAAGAGATTGGCTAGCTAGTTCAGAGGGCTTTAGTTATCTCAAGAGCATCTGCAAACGTAGTGTAAAAAAATATTTAAATCACAATTTAGATCTCCAGAGTAATCTAAAACCTCTCAAATGCAGAGATGAAAAGGAAATGCAAATTTCATTTTTCGATAGAAAATATAAAAATGTGTGAATTTACATCTTTTTTTTACATCTACATGAGGGAAAATGTAGATTTAGATTTTTCCATTGGAATAAAATTTGAATTTAAATTCATCGGTTGATAGAAACATATGACCAATATGAGCCATATCGTTGCAGTTATAGAATTTAAATAGAGAAAATATTAGGCAGGAAGCAAATTGAGTTCCTGTATGGTCTCAATTTTCTAGAACTCATTTTTATTTCAAACTTATTTCCAATCATATGTTTTATGAGAGTCACAAATTTTATCAATTTTTCAATTAACAATCAAACATTTTATGAAGGCTTGCCTAATCTACTAAAATCTATCTTTAATCTAAACCAAACAAGGCCTAAGTCACATAAATTGTGTAAATTTGAAAATAAAAATTTTGGGCAGTAGAAGAATATTGTAAATTTGAAAATAAAAAATTAAACCAAAACAGGGAAAATTTCATTTCAGTTACTGAACTTCAAGCAAAATTTTAATTGAATCACTAAATTTTAGTTTGTCTCAATTGGATCATAGGACTTCAATTTTGAATTTCACAATCTATCACAATCTAACCTACTCATATAAACACTCTTTTCTCTCTTTCACACGCACAAACGCGTACACATTTGAGGAAAGAGTATAAAAGAAGTGATCGTCAAGTAAATCAAGAAGACTTTATTTATCGAAGTCAAGAAGACTTTAGTTATTTTAACTAAGTCATAAGGCTAATAAACAAGGATTAGCAAATAAAGTCTTATTTAATGGTACAAAACTCTTCGTTTTATCTCAATATAAAGAAGAACAACTCCTCGCACATATGAAGACACATATATGTTTAGAGAAACAATAAATATAGAAGAAGAGATTGGCTAGTAAGCCAAGAGGGCTTGAACTATCTAAAATAAGCCTTAAGGTTAATGGACAACGAGCATAGTCAATCAACTATTGTCTAATCAAAGGTGCGAAGCATTTACTTTTACATTAATATAAATTCTCTTTTTCACACATATAAAAAGACACAATAAAGAAGAGATTGGCTAGCAAGTTCAAAAGCCTTTAGTTGTCACAAACGCATCTGCAATCGTAGTTTAAAAAAGATTCAAATTGTAATTTAGATCTTCAAAGTAATCGAAAACCTCTCAAATGCAGAGATTAAAAGGAAATGCAAATTGTATTTTTCGACAGAAAATGTAAAAAATGGGTAAATTCACATCTGTTTGTACATCTACAAGAGGAAAAAAGCAGATATAAATTTTCCCATTGGAGTAAAATTTGAATTTAAATTCATCGAGATGTAAATGAGGATGTAAAAGTAATTTTGAAGATATTAATTTGCACCGAATTTTATATCACGATTGGTGATGCTAGAATTGAACTAAAAGATTAGTGAATGATGTGTAAAATGGTTTGTTTCTATCTCATCTTATTTTCAATATAAAAAGAACATTCCTCAATCTCACAAATAGCAAAATTCTATAATAAAAAAAAAAAAAAAATTGAAAAAATGAGATAAAAGCACTTTGCCCACCAAAACCAGGTTTAATAGTGCTTCGATCATTGCAGTAAACAAATATTGACACAGTAACAGAAAGTTGTGTGCCACTTTCAAGCAAAGTTAGCCATCACCGCCATACACCAAAAACACACACACAGAGACTGCCTTCCTCTCTCTTTCCTCTCATCACAGCGCAAGAAACATTAGCAAGTTTGATGTTGAGGGCCCGACATTTTTACGAGTTTTAGGGACTTAGAAATTTAAAAAAGGTCAAACAGACAGCTTTTCTTTTCTTATTGCTTCTTCTTCACTTTCCTCCATTTTCCCTCACTTTATTTTGCTTTTTGTTTATTTATTATATGTTTCAGTTAGGACACTTCACACTACAATTTGTGTAAAAATTTTCTTGGTTTCTTTACTGTCTGGCAAATTTTCTTGTGTAATATGGAGAAGCAAAACACGTTTACGAATGAAGAGAATTGTAGCTCAGAACAACTTGAGAGTTACTTTTTCAATCCCAATTGGGACAATTCAATGAATCAAAATGATCCCTTTGAGTCTGCATTTAGTTCAATGGCTGCATCGAATGGTATTATTGGTGACAACATTGTTGTAAGAGAACTTATTGGTAGAACAGGCAATTCTCAGGAAATGTCAATGCTGGATCATCAGATCGCCCAAGGGAATTTCCCAATAAATGGAAATCGATTTTCATCTCCTCCCAGTTCAGCACCATTTCCAGCGGATCCAGGATTTGCAGATAGGGCTGCAAGATTTTCTTGCTTTGCTAACAAGAATTTAGGGGCCATGAATGCCCAACTGGGATCAAATGAAGCCGAATTGCCGCACAGATCGGCAACAAATTTGGAACCTGGCAAGATTTCGAGCTATCAGTCCTTCAAGATTTCTTCTTGTGATAAGAAATTGGGTTGCTTGTCGATATCTTCGACCCCTGAAAAAGCTGAATTTTGTGAATCAAGGGAGAATTCTTCGATCTCTGAACAGATCCCTGCTAGGGAAGTTGGTACAAATGATGCAAATGACAGAAAGAGGAAAGCAGTTCTAAGGGGAAAGGCAAAAGCAATCCCTTCATCAAATTCTGCCAATGTAATTTTTTGTCCATTTAAGGAATTCTTGAATTATAAATTGTAGGTTTTGTGGGTTAATTTTCATATAATTTTTAATGCAGATTTCATCAGAAAATAGTGGATCAAGTTCAAAAAGAAGCAAGCCAGGTGATGACAAATGTTCAGAGCCTCCAAAGGACTATATTCATGTTAGAGCCAGAAGGGGCCAGGCTACAGATGCCCATAGTCTTGCTGAAAGAGTAAGAATCCTCAAATTACTGATTTTTATTTTTCTTCTGTTATCTGTCTACCCAAGAAAAATCTATCTCCTCCACTGTACCGTAAAGTGGTATTTATAATCTTACTTATTCGATTACTTCAATTACAAGTTGTTAGTTACTTCATCTGGACGAATCCTACCGATGGAATAATTAAGTCATAATTCATCGACTCCATGTTTGGTTATCTTTCTGTCATCAGGTTAGAAGAGAGAAGATCGGTGAAAGAATGAAGTTCTTACAAGATCTTGTGCCGGGTTGCAATAAGGTATTTGCCCAGTTTGACAGATTTTCGAACTAATTGTACATATTAAGTGTTGAAAATTGTAATGAAGTACTATATATTTATTCGTAGGTGACTGGGAAAGCTGTTATGCTTGATGAGATTATAAATTATGTGCAGTCTTTACAGAGACAAGTTGAGGTAAATCAAGATTTATTTTGAAGTTTAAGTTGAAATATAAAAGGACTGGTTATTGATTATTTGGATATTTGATTATGCAGTTCCTTTCAATGAAATTGGCTAATGTCAATCCTACCATGGACTTCAATATGCAAGCTCTTTTGTCCAAGGATGTAAGTCGAAATTTTACAAAATTGCACTCTTCGAATCCGACTTCAAATTGGTAGTAACCCTTTTCATTTTTTGGCAAATTTTCAGATGTTTCAGTCTCGTGGAGCGATCCATGATGAACTACAGCTGTTGGATACCTATCCTTTCCAATGTCAACAAGGACCAAACTTGCATAGTGTCATCCCTAGTCGAATTGATGCCTTCCCAACAAACTATTTCAATGATGCCACGGGTCGAAATCAGAGCAAGCAACAGCTTTCTGTGGACAATTTGGTAAGGACATGACTTTCAGCACGGGTTTGAACATGACAAGTCAGTATAACGAAAAGAAAATTTAAGTTTATAATGATGATCAATTTCTTGTTTAGGTTTCAACAGTCTGGGAAGATGATCTCCATAGCCTTGTTCAGATGGGAAATGGTCAAAATCAGACACAAAGTTTTCATGGTTAGTAATATTGATTTGATTACTGATATAGAAGATATTTAGATGTATTTTTTTACTTAGTATGAGAATTCGATATCTTGTTCGTCTCTAATGCAGGGATTCTTCCCACAGCACAAACGAAAGCCGAAAGATGATTAATAGTTTTCAGCATCAATTTAATTCATTTTAGGCTCTGATTGATAGAGGCTCAGGCTTCTGTATATACTGAGGAATTGTATTAGAAAAAAGATCAGTTGATGATCAATTCAAAGAAATAGAGCATTCTTGTTATTCTCTTTTACATGGTCGATACAAAGTCGATAATAATCTCGTTTTCTACATATTTATTGGAAGCAAGACTTAGTTCGTGTTGTTTTTCTTTGTGTGTGTACTTTTCGTGCTATTTGCACGACTTCCCTTTAATTTGGTGGTAATAAAAATGTCGATTATTATATCGGGAAGCAAGTCTATTTTCTTCCGCAAATGTCATTATCAAGGAGAATGAATTGTTGGCTCTGCGATTAACCCATTTAAACTTATAACACGTAATATGTAGGGTATCTTTTATCTTTTATACGTTTAACTCGATAATATTATAAAAAATAACTTATAATTAGTGTTCAATACAAGATACCAAACATCACCATCGAGGATTAGAATACTATATAACTAACTGTCAGTGGGGACAAATGCTGTCTTGAGTTGGTTTGATTAAGGATGATTTCCAGCAGAGCGATGTGCAATAAACAAGTCATTTTGTCAAGTCTCTGATTTTCTGTGTAATTTGAAACTTAATTTATAATGGGAATTCAAGGGTTGGCAGGTTGGCAATATTGATTGTGACTTGGCTAAGGAATCAGAAGAATTTTAAAATCCCATCTAACTTTACAAAGAGAAGCTTGAAGTGACATATAAAAGAAGAAAAAGTTAATTTCAAACATTATCATTGAAGTTCAAGAGAAATTTTGTATTGGTCCTTAAAGTATTTTAATGAACCATTAATGTTCTATAATTGGTAAATCCATCTGCTGATTAATGTCATATCCAACGTACCCGTCGTAAACTTGACATCGACTGATGACCGTTTAGAGGCAGATGTGGTCCAACTAATCTTTTGTTTGAACTCTGTCGTAACTTTTTTACTATTTATTAATAGTGGTTGGATGTGAGGTTTTTGCTTTATAGAATCACATTTGTTATCGTTAGTCTATATCAAGGTTTAACGGGTCCACATCATATCCGGGGTGGAGTCAAGAGTGGATGTTCCTTAAAAAGTGAGCAATTATGAAAAGAAATTTAATATTAGCTATTGAATGTGTCAAACAAATACTTTAAGGACCAATTTGAAATTTCAGTTGGATTTCAATGATCATTTGTAAAATTAACACAACCAAGAAAGTAATGGAGATGTGTAATGTACATGTAAATATCCTTCAACATAGACCATAAAAGGCTGTCACTTAATCTTCCAAATTTTCCAGCAGAAGAAATTTGCAAATTCAAGCATTTCTTCTATAGAACTGAATTTCAAAAGGATAAATATATATGTACCGAAAATGGGTTATCGAATTGGTACCTTACTCTCACATGCGAGTGGGCTCTGCGTGCATTTAAAAATACCGGCTTGTGGGACCCGTCCTCATATTGTGAGTGTAGGTAAAAGATTTGATAAAAATGTGCAGGTAAATGTAGCATTGTCCATTTTAGAAAATAGCATTTTCTCAACCTCTTGTCAAAAGTCATGCTTAAACTTTCAAGTATATAGCAATTTAGTTTCCTTCTTTATTAAATATTTCAGTAAGACCCCTTAATCAATTTCGGGGTCCCAAGGTACGTGCGTTCTCCTTTACGAGAAAATGTTGTTGGAGAGCACCGTCTTAAATCCATGGGTTAAGTCACGTGGCGGTTGAATGGTATAATATTGAATATGTCCTCACTACAAATCAGTTGATTTTCAGATGGCATAGTTGAAACTTAATCCTACTACTGATATCAGAGCTAAGGTCATAGTTATGAATCACAAGAATAGGCATATATGTCGATCTAATTGACATTAAAAAAATATATATATTGCTTGTTGGATTTTCACACATTAATCACGAGAATGGGCATATATGTCGTTGGATTTTCAGTGGATTCATATAGCGAGGACATATATATGTCGATCTAATTGACGTAAAAAAAAATAGTAGCCAAGTGACAACAAAATAAAGCTGAGTGACTAAACTAATGCTTTACTCAAAGTTAGGTGACTAACAATTCTCTGTTTCTTAAATTAATTAATTAAATTCACAAATTATATTTCTGTTGGATTATCTAATAGGCTCTTTGAAGAGTCATTAGTAAATTTTCTGAAAGCGAGTCATTATTAAATTTTACTAGACTTACTAAATAGACACATTCTGAGACGTTATTCAAATTCTATATCAATTGAATTAGATATAACTTTCTCTAAGATTTTTATGCTCGATCGACTAAAATAACTCGCCTGACCCACTATGGAGGTGATACGTCCAACATGGACGAATATACATAGCCATAAGTTGCGAGCTTTCATTGAGATATATGAGGTTGAAATCTCTTAATCTAATAATTCAAATACTTTGGGAAAAATAAATTAATAAATGTGAAGCTTTTAAGAAAAAAAAAATTACTTTTTTGAGTTTTTGTTTTATATACTTTTACTTTTTTTCTATTTTCCATGCCTTTCCGTCTTTTTTCTTAGTTCCCTTTCTTTCTACGAGAATTAAGACCATCAAAAACATAGTTGAACACGAATGCACACAATCATTCAAAAACAAGGGGAAAAAATTCCAAGACATTCATAATTTTAACCAATAGTGTTATTAGAATGTGAGCGAGCCAACAGAAAAGTGCCAGAAAGAAATTTAATCCAAATAATTAGTCCATGTTTGATGTAACTTAAGAAAAAAAAAAAATTTTAGTACGTTTTGATAAATGTTGATAAAAATCTTGAATCCCATGTTTGATGGTGCTGATGTTATTGTTATTGTTATTATTATTATTATTGAAAAATGAAGTTTTGAATAATGATTTTTTGAAGAATGTGTAAATAAAAAGTAATAAAAGTTTTGGGATTACGTGCAAATTTTCTTGTTATGTAAATATATGATTGAAAATGAGTATGAGTATTAAAGAGTTTTACTTATAATAAAAAGACATTAGAGACTTAATTATTAACTTTGACTTAGAGTTAGACTTTTTATCAAATTTTTAAGTTACGCACATGGGCTAACTCTTTCACCAACCTAACTAAATGATACTTTATCTGACCATTGAGATAAAAACATTTGGCTTTTAACAGTGAAATCAACACACTTACTTCTGCATCAAATAATATACCAAAATCATATCGTACCATGATAAAGTAAGCGTCCAAAAAACTTTTTGAGTTTCATTTTTGGGAGAGTAGATTTTGTAATAATGATTTTTTGAAGAATATGTTAAAAAGTAGAAAAAATTTTGATTTTACATGTAAACTTATTTATAAGGAAAATGAATGATTAAAAATGAGTTTGAAAAAAAAAA